CACTTTTGTCGCATCTGCTGTCTGTTGTAATACATTCTGAACTTAAACTGGGTACCCGTTTTCTATTTGCTTCTTTTCGAGTTGGAAAAAGGTTAATATAGTCAAAATTATTAGCTGTGTTTGTTTGTTGTATTATTTTCGAAAATAACTTTGACAAACTAATTGATGACAGTGACGGATTCTATTTCAGGTAAGAATTTTATGAACAATAATTAGACAGCAATTTTTTTGTCAATTTTACTATCACCGCTGTTTGAGATGTATTCAACAAGGATAGACAAAAATCACGTGACTTTAAAATGGTATTTGTTGGACTATACCTATATTTGAATAAGGTTTGTGTACGTCTGGTCAATACTGCAGTCTGTGCACAAATATTAATATCAATGGTTTGTTGTATTCTACAACATTCACTATCAAGGATTTTATCACTTGTAGGTGAACATTATTTGTTCCAAAGTCACTCCTAAATCCGGCTTGCTCTAGTGGTTGGTGGAAATCTAGCTTGGGACCCATTATATTAGTTATTATCCTCAAAAAAAGCTTATATACATAAGATAGTTTCCAATTTTCAATATGTCTCCCCTTGTATGCAAGATTCTTCCATTGTTCTGGCGTACTTTCTCCAAAGAGGCATAGGCATTATAAAGAGTTTTTAGAGTTTTTATGACGTATTTACTTCCCAGTTTCATCATTGCAGTTACAAGGCCATGTTCTTCAGGGGTTCTGTTGTTCTTCATGCATTTTATGACTGGTTCAATTTCCTCTTCGGTTATATCTGGAAGTTCCTCTGACCCTTGAGTCTGTATTACTGGAATTTCTATATGTCGGATATGAAATTGTAACAAAACACGCTCAAGCACTCTATTTAATTAGTTAAATGGTAAATGACGAGCGGTATATTGATGGTGTTTATTTCCTTGAGCGGCTACCTATAAAATTGTGGAGCGGGCCTATTCGCAAATGAGAGAAACAAACTATTGAGGTTTACTAAATTAATTTTATTATACTTAAAACCAAAATTAAAATAAAGCAAATATCTTTCTATGTCTGACAGCCACATCTACTTTTCCCAAATCAATTTATTTCACATCCGTTCAAATTTCATTACTACGGACCAGGAAATATCCATACTAAAAACGCCCTACTTCTATATTCTTAATAACTTCCAAGTTAATACATTTACTCTTTTAAACAACACTTCCGATTCACATTCCTACTATATCTATAAATTCTTAAACTCCTAAGTCATTTACTGACAGCTTATGCAAAATAATTATTTAAGTCATAATCCTACTCACTGAATTGAGTACATATGTATTATCAACTATATTTTTATAAAACCTTAAGTACAATAATTCTTAAATGAAAAAAAAAAACCTAATTCAAAATTTTAGCACATAAGGTCATCGATGTTACTTCATGAACAACAATTTTCAGTCAAAACTTTTCAATTACTCCTAATGATTAACGTCTACAATCTCATTTCATGAGCAACAAGTTCTTTTCGAAACTTCCCATTTCATTTAAAGGTTTATTTAATCAGAACAATTACTATTTTCGGATTCCTAGCCAACAAACACAATTATTTAAATTCTTATTAGTTAATAATTCCTACTCAAAATCGAATATTGTTAAGAGCATTATAATTTTCCTTTGTTAATTCTTTGCAAACTTAATTAAAATTGTCATTATCATTATACTCGAAGGCAATTGAAGTTATGCAATAAAGTTTTTACAGTCAAATCTCTCAAGTTTTTATGCATTAAAGTTCAATGTCAATTCACTTCTTATCATTCCGAATCATTGTTAAAGTCAAAAAAAAAAAAAAAAATAATAGTCACTAGAGTGCTTACATTTAAATTGTCACCCGATAAAATACTTAATTAATTTACTTCAAAAATCTCTAGAGCTCACACATAATGTTGAATGACTAAATGTTCTTTCTTTCACGATTTTCCGTTACTTTTTCAAAGACGACGCCTTTTCCCGAGGCAACAAAATAAAAGAAACTCTTCGCGAATTTTAATCGGACTGACTCATTAGGTACTGTGGATTTAACTCAAACTGGACTGAAATTAAACTCAACTCAACTGCTCCTCTACTTCTAAAACCACTGTATTTATAATGTTTCGTTCCCCCAAAAATTCCTATTCTCATCATTCAATAACCTTCCTCTTTTATTTGTTCAAAATCGAATAAATATGTCGCAATTTCCTGGTTTATCGGGGTCAACAGATTTGGTTGTAAGAATTGGACATATAACTCGACGTCTCGGCCATAAATCACCGATTTAATTACTTTGGCCTCGCTTTTAATATTCTTATGGATTTGATTTAGATGATGACTAAATAATAAGCAATTAAACGTTTTTTAGATATTTTAATTAATTTGGGTCAATTTTTATTGGTTTCATTTACAATTTATTAATACTGATGTTAATTATTAGAGATTCGGTTTTTGATTATTTGATTACTTACATTTAATTTTTACAGTAAAGACATTGTAAATTACGGGTCTATTTTCCCATTACAAAATCATCCCGACTATAATGATGATCTTCGATGGTTTCCATAATCCCTTGTTGTTCGTGTGTGTTGTGTCTTTGCTTGTTTTTTATCCTGTGAATATTCCTCCTTCCTGTCTTCAATTTCCGTTCTAGCACTTTCAGGTACTTACGTACCTATATCTTTCCTTGTAACCTTTGAAATCGTTTTAGCTTTGCTAGGTTCGGTATGTGTTTATCTCTCATTTCCCTTCTTGTTTGAATTAAGCTTCTTGTGTCTTCAGCGAGTTTTTCAGTTTTTCTTGGTTGACTATTGTAGCAAAAGACCTTCAAAATCAAGGCTTCAATAAACTATAATTCAGTACCACAGAATATATGAAGGTGGCCTATGATTTCTCTTCGCCATAACACGACGGGATTCATCAGTAGGTTTCACTATAGATAAAGCCGGAGGATTTTCATTGTGAGATTGTTCAGAATTTTGGGGCAGGGAACGATTAGACTCATTTATAGGAAACGGAGATGATCAATGTTCTGAACTGACTGATAAAGTTTTTTTTAGGAATAGTTAACTCATTAAAATCTTGTTCTGGCATTTTGATCTCGTTCTGGTAGTGTCACATCATTCTGATCTTGATCTATCAGAGCTGACGGTGTCACATGCATAATCTGAATTTGCTTCCAGAAGATCAACTTCTTCTTCTAGTGCTAGTGGATCATATTTGCTATGTCTAACATGTTTCTTGAGAAAAACTGGTCCTGGTGTGCTCAACCATGTTAGGTATTGAGGCTCCATCAGTCGATCTTCTAGGATGGTTGAACATGCGTTCATTAGTTAGTTGAAGGACACAAAAGAGATCTAATTGAATGTAGAGAATCTAATAATACATCTTGCCATTGTTTTACGTCGAGGTTTCTAGATTTAATCTCAAGTTGAATAGTCTAGCAAATTGTTCCATTAAATCTTTCACATTGTCCATTTCCCTTTGGATTGTACCCAGTTCTACGACTTCTGGTGTGGCCACACCATGACTTGTTGAAAATGATTTTTTGAAACTTGTGCTCTCCATGGTGAATTACTTGGTTGAATGATGTTTTCTTTCATTATTCTTCGTATTTCTGTTTCTATAAATTTGAATTCATCATTAGAAAACCATCTGGATTTGATATCAATAGGCTGGCAATTTTCTGTTAAATTTGCAAATAGCGGATAAGGTCGAATATTTGTAGTTACTAGATTACAGTCCGACCTTCCAGTATCAATTAGTACATCAGTTGGAATATGATTGACTTCAATTTTAATAATAGCTTTCGATAAACAAGGTTTTGAGGCAGCTGACATCGTTCCAATCATGGCAGCTGAAGTTTTATTTGAATCATGAGATTATTTTTGATGTTTTGATCCACATATTTGTGTAAAATGACCAATCTTTCCACAGGAATGACAGATTGCATCTCTTGCTGGACATTTATCTCTAGAGTGTCTGTTTCTCCCACAAAAATAACATTTTGAAGTAATTACGGCAAGTGTTGTATCCTTTCGTTCATTTGATTGTTGAAAATAAGTCGATGATTGATTTGATACAATCGAATTCACGTATGAATTTGAGGTTTAATATTCTGACTGTTGTTGAGCATTTCTTAAGATCTGGCTGATTTATGTGCTTCTTCTAGGTTAAGAGTCGTATTTTCTAAAATTCTTTGCCTAATGTGAGATGTGGCCAGACCACGAATAAATGAATCTCTTATGTAGTCATTTTTTTTTCTATATTTAGCGGTGACTGCTTTAAAATTACACTCTTTACTTAATTGTATCAAAATTTGTAAGTACTGGTCTATAGATTCACTTACTTGCTGTTTTCTAGTGGATAAAGTATGATGAGCAAAAATGTCACTCTGTGTTTTTACATATACCTAGTTTCTATGTAGGAAATACATTCACTAATAGACTGATAAACTGAAGAACTCACATAGTTTACTAGAAGGTTCAATTTGTCCTTTGTCTTCTGAAATTTTTGTTGCGTCTAAAACGTTTCAAACGTTCGTTTCCAGTGGATCCATAACTGGCTAGCGTTGCTTGAATGTGTGTCAATTTCTAATCGATCTAGCTTGAGTAATTTGTCCATTGATTATATTTAGCTTATTAAATTGTAGTAAAAGACCTCCAGAATTAGGACTTCAATAAGCTAAAATTCAGTACAGATTATTCTGATAATAATTGACAACATGACATACAACATTTAGTAGGTACCTCCACCCACATCTCATTGCTATTCAATATTGTTCTCATCCCAATTTTGATGTAATTTACTCTATATTTCTTTCCGGTATGCTCTTGTGTTGGTAATCGAAGTGAATTTGACTTTTTCTGTCCTTGCTAGGAATAATATAGCTGGCGAACTATCGATCAGCAAAATGATTCAAACTTTTACAGTAGATATCAACTAACATGATTTTCTAAAATATATTATTAAAATTTTTCTTGTTATTTCAGAAAGTCTAATCGATTCCTCTTCACTCCTTCCCTACACGATAACTGCGCGTCCGCAAATAAAACGCAACAGCGCAACGCAAATGCCAGTGAAACCGTACCACGTGACCTGGGCGCCGATACTCCAGTCGCGCAACTGTTCCACGCAGACGCCCCCACCACACAAAGAAAGTTCCGTCTAGCCTCCGGAGAACGTTCTGCTCTACCTTCACCTCTACCACCAAGAGCCCTGCGAAGCACCTACTGCAGGACCATCTGCTGCGAATTTACTATTGAACCCCAATCAGAAGTCTCGGCACCGGGACCAATACCACCTGTGATATTTGTGAATATCTCTCGTATTTTTAAGCATCATTAATTATTAAGTGATTTAATTAAGATTATAAATAAAAAATAAACTGTTACGCTGTTAATATTAATATTATTTCTTGTCGATGAAATATGTCATTAAATGTGGAGTTTTGTTGTTTTATTTAGCCCGGATATTTCTTTTGATTTAAGTATGTATATCTGCTCTCACAGAAATTCGAAACTTGGTCGAATTCTGGTTTGTTAATACAATACAGAACATGGGGAGGTGAGGTCTGCTCCGATACGTCAAAAACCACTCTGTATCTATACGAATTTCGGATTCTAGGCAAGGATCCCACCGAGTTTAGATTTTGCGCAGAATTGTTCCGTTTCATATTGGTGTTGTAACGGAGCTTCTTATAATTCCATCTTTCTCGGACTAGATCTGTTTCTCTCACGTTGCCTTGGCATCAATAAATCGATGATCGTGAATTCGATCACACGAAACAGAGAGGGTTCTCACCAAATCTGGACACTGGGCCTAGACCTAGATTTATTCGCAGCCATTTTATATGCTGATGGCAAATGGCTCAAAAATACAGTAAAAGTCAAAAAATTTGCCCTGTCCAGTCCTTGTTGGATACCTTTAGGTTTGCTCCAACACAGCAGAAAACTGTATAATTTACCGTCACAATTCTGTGCAAAACAAAAATTATCCGTGTAGAATCCGAGATTCGTATACAGAGTGGTTCCGAAACCGTTTCATGGAACGGTTTTTCAGATGTTGATACAGACCTTTTGTAAAGTCCGCAACGTGAAAGATAAAGGGCCGAAAGAATGCGATCGCCTGAACAAACACAGCTCGTCCGCTTTATTTGTTGTCTGTCTAATTAACAGATTATTTAGTATTTCTCGATCGTTTTAGTAAGTTTGCCAAGTTCTCAAATTCAAGCGCTGAGTTTTTGTTGCATTTGCTTCCTCTCCTCTTCTAGACGTCGTCCTTCGTCCTTTATCTACTAGTGTAGGGGACTTTAGTTAACAGGGCGGCACAAATTTTACTGTATTCCTTTTATACATCGAGTTACACCGAACGTGTCGCTCTAGAGCTCCTCGGAGTCACTCCAAAACACACAATTCAATTCAGACCATTATTCTTTAATATTAACATTACCTAAAAGGGCTTCTTGCACCCCCCGTAAATTTGGTGCTTTAGGGGAAAGGAGGATGCACTATGAGCGACTCGAGTGCTTAACGCACTTTTAAAAGGAACGTTCAAGCTTTTGACATTGAGCAGCTCCGAGTAACTCAACGAGTAAAAGAAATACAGTATTTGCTGAAAACGGCTAGAATGCTATTATAGAACTATAATCTTCCTACACTAGACTATCAAAAATTTGACAAAAATATTCTAAAAATCGAGGTGTCGACTTCGGGATTTCGCTCCCCAATATAGGTAATTGAATATCGCACGAACTCACTTTTACTTTCACAGAACTCATTGCATGATAGTTTAATATTCAAAAAACAATTAGAACGAACCGAAAACAACAGGAAAACGCAAAAGACGACTGCCATAATAAACGTGTAAACATGTAATGGCGATTACCGCCAAAACGGCCATCTTGACATTAAGTAGCGCCCTCTATTGGTCAACATTTTCGTGGCGACCTGCAAAGGCCATCTAGTTTAAAAAAAAAAGAAGAATTATTTCATTTGACAATTTGACGAACGTGACATGACAGATTACTCTTTTATTTTGACAGCGCAGAGCGCAGCTGACCTTCTCAAGAAAAATATTGGATTTTTCCCAAAACTCTTCCTAGGAATTTAAAATGACCATAACAGAAGCAACCGAATTACCAACCGATGAGGAATTAACGGTACAAGAAGTCAATTTGTCCGGTCCAGTCCTAAAAGCCGGAGCATTCCATTTGGGAAAGTCCTGCGAATATGAGAATAATGTAAGGTTACAATAATATTACCTAATCGCTATAGGACGACCTAAACAGCACCCATAGGCCATAATAATGCCCTTGTTAGCAACCTATTTATTTCTAGGAATTCATATTGTGCCGCCGAGAGTTCAAGGACCCTAGAAAATGCTTACAAGAAGGCAAAGCCGTAACCAGTTGCACTCTCAACTTCTTCAGACAAATTAAAAAAACTTGTGCTGACGAATTCACCCAGTACGCCTATTGCCTGGACAAGTCCAGCCCCGACCAGCAATACACACCGTAACAATATTTTACATCCACACAAACCATTAATCACTAAACCTTGATTTACAGATGTAGAAAAACTCAAGCTGTTTTTGACAAGTGTGTTAAAGACAACTTGGGCCTGGACAGGCCTCCTTTCGATTACTTCAATAGAGTGCATGTACATAAATCACCTCGTCCAGCTCTGCCAGTTGAAGGACCAGCAGTATATCCAGATGCCACTCCTGGTTTGCCACCTACTGCAGAAACTCCACCAGCTAAATATGGTTCACGTTTCTTATTTTTCTGGTGATGGGATAATGTATCATCTAGTAGCTGCCACTTGTTAGAATATTTAATTATTGTGTAATTAATAAATTGATTTTAATTTAGGTTTGTGTTATAAATTATTACCAAGACTTCTAGTTCTAGGTTTCTCTAGTTTTCCTTGACAAAAACTCAGTTCTGTATACCTAAAAGCAGTGTAGTGCTCTTTCCAAAATAAGCCATTAAAGGTTAAGGTGATTTCCTTAACTATGCACTGCACAATGTTCTTTTGTAAAATGAAACTATGGCTTTTGAAGTAGGAAGGAATTTGCTGTACCTCAGATGTAGAGCAAAGCAAATGATATTAGTGTCACAATAAGCTAAACGTCCGCCAGGCTGTCAAGAATCGATCGCGGAAATACTAGAATCTAGCGAATTATTCTACTTTAATCTGGAAAATTAGATTATCGTGTGTATTCTAGATTTCACAGGAATAGATTTAGGGATATATAAGAAGGCCGGCATTGGTTTGTAAGTTAGTTTCAGTTCGAGTGTGATACGATTTAAATAGTGATTGTAAAGAGTTTAATTGTTGAGTTTGTTAATAAAGTAATTAGTGTCAGAGTGTTTTGTTAAGTGGAATAAATTATTGCTGTGTTAATTGGAGTTTGATTTTTGGAATAAACGAAACGAACAACGAACCCAAGATTTTTGTCAGCATGTCAGCAGGCAACCCAAAGCGGCGACATTAGCTACAGTTTCTGCAAGCTCATCTTTAAGCAACTTGATGATTGTGAAACATCTAGGTTACCTTTTTGCTACAAGGTTGTTTCTCTAAACAAAAATGAACATCAATGTAAATCCCCAAGAATCAAAACTTTTCCCTTGCCTCTTGAATATAAGGATCTGGTCCAGAGACAGATTACCCAAACTTAATCACAAGCTCATAGTATTTGTATTGACAGCATTGAAGGCAAGTTTATGGGAGAAATTCTATTTTATGCTATTCAAGATGCGGTTTAATCATAAATATGGAGAAGTAAAGTAATTTATTGATGTCAATATTATTTATACACAAGTCAACAATATAATAAAATAATAATCTTAAGGCTATAGCATAGGTCAGTAGCTGAAACTAAAGGCTGAAACACATACAACACATTTCAAACAAAATGACTAGTGTTGGAGGAACTCCTGCTGTTTACTGTAAAAATCCTTGGAGCATACTAGTTTCCTAACTGTCCCTTTGAATAGGTTAATGGGCAATTTTTTTATGTCTCGGTAATTTATCAAATAGTGACTGCCATAAACTCCAGGCGACCCTGGCACTTTGACAATCGGCAATGAGACGGCACAATATTGCTGCAGTGTCTGGTTTTATAGTCGTGGATATCACTATGAGTCAAGAATTTGTGTGTTCAAACCTTTTGACATACAGCACGCATTCCATAATATAAGCTATGGAAGAGTCGGTATGTTGAGTTCCACAAACGCAGGCCTACAGTCATCCCTAAACCCCACACCCGCCAAAATTCTAACAGCCTTACGTTGCAGCCCAATGATTGGGGCTGCAGAAGGGGCTCCACCCCATGCTAGAATCTCATCATATGTCATGACAGAGTGAAACATGCCATCATAAACACTCAGCACTGTGTCCTGAGATACACAGTCACAAAGATTCCTCAGCAAGAAAACACTGCTCACATCAGTCACATCCCATGTGAGTTTTGGATCAAGATATATACCTAATCCAGTATCTCGCATTGAAAACAGCATTGTTTCAGTTTTATCCCCATTTAGCATAAGCTTGTTGGCATTAAACCAACTTTCGGCCACCAATCGTGCCTCACGCGCCCTGACCTCCACTCTAAGGCACATATAGATCATTATCTGATGGAATAGTGAAAATAGTGTCATCCGCAAAAAGTATGTATCTGGCTAGTTCAGTCATTGGTTCCTAGGTCATTTATGAAGATGGGGAAAAGAATAGGTCTTAAAACGGAGCCTTGTGGTACACCTACCCTTAAGAAACCCTCAGAAGACGACACTCCCCCCCACCCTTACCATTTGCGTGCGTTCACTCGGATACGATTCCAGTAGTTGTATGGCGCCCTCTGAGAAATTGTAGAACTTCAATTTCTTCAGTAGGACAGGACATCACACGAGACACAATCAAAAGCCTTGCTCAGGTCATAGAAATGTGCTAAGAGGTGTTCACTTTTCTCAAAAGCATCCATTATGTTCGTGAGAAGATTGAGGACTTCAAGAACTGTGCCTTTTCCCTCTCTAAACCCAAACTGGCTATCAGTAAACAAGCTGTTGCTCTCAAAGAAGTCAGTAATCGATGCACCCTTCAATTACCTTCGACAAAATTGGCAACATATGGAGATGGGACGATAGTTAGAGTTATTTGGAAATTTTGGAATCAATGGGTGGTATGAATAAAAACGAAGTATCTGCTACTACTACAAGTATTATAGTAGTATATTCTCCGTAGTATTTACTGTTGAGATTCTAAATTCCCAAACAAAATTAAATTAAAAAAATAAAAACTTATTTCTTTTCCCCTATTTATTTTCGCAGAATAAGGCGCCGGTAGTCTAGCCAGTCGGGCCGTACCTGGCACCAAAGTCTCTTTGTCGCACACACTGAAAGTAAAATAATTTTAAAATATATTTCTATTGACCCACTTTTTTAAGGGCAGTTACTCTCTAGCTTTTGAGGTGTTCGCGTCAGTCAAGCGCTCATCTCGCTATTTCGCTTTCCCACGTACAATAAGAAGTACATTTATTCGAAATCATATTATGATTTCATCATTCCTTCTAAAAATTATTTTCACCCTGTGAGTTGGGTATTTTTTCCGCGTATTTCTAGGCGCGATTGTTTAAGTCATAATAGTGAAGTTTAAAATTGCCAAGTGGCAAAAATCAGTAAGAAAAAAAAATTGTAAATAAGTTCTAAGTCGAAGTTTTCTTGTACATAATTGTATATTTTCGTGAATTGTTAGTGGTGATCTTAGTGATAAATAAAATACTTGTACATAGAAAAGAAACGGTCGGAGCTTGCGTGTTATTTCAACCTGTATCAAAAACGGAACTACCCTTTCTCTGTAAATAAAATGTGGGAGAGGATTCTAATATTTCTAATCGAAGGATAACAAAAAGCATTTCTTCTCTCCTCCCCCCACATTTTTGGCCACATCGAGCCGGATGATTCCAGTTTATTTCTTCGCAAGATGGTTTTTCTGCAATCCTAATAGTCCGGGAGCTGGTGACACTGGTGACAGGAGCCGCGCCTTGGTTTCTGGTATTGTATCAACAAAATAAATGAAAATACAATCTTCAGTGCTTCGGTGAGTGATTTTTAGCCTTTATTCGTACTACTATTTTTCTGGTGTTGTGAGTGAATTTTCTCGTGATTTCAAGACTCAATTTTTCACATATTATTTTATTATTTACCACAAACAGTAAAAAGTTGGACGCTTTGTAGATTTTTTTCTATTTCTACGTATCTATTTCTACGTATTTTAGTAGATAAATTTTCGTTTTAGTTTGTAAAATCTATTTCTATTATCTTATAGGTAAATATTCTTATATTTTTGTAAAAACCTTCTGTAAATATATGTAAATTCGAGTGTAAATTATTAGGTCGCTAGTTAGTTAAAATTTTACAAAATGTCTCTCGACAAGTTAAAAAAATCGAGATCTTCCATTAAACGTTCCATATCTAGATTAGAAACTTGGTTAGTAACAAATGAAGATGTTATGAGTGATGCTCTAGAATTTGAAAATAGACTTGATAGACTCAAAATTTTGTTTTCTAATTATGAACAAACTCAAGATGAAATAGAACTTTTATTAACTGAAGAAACTGCAGATTCTGAAGATAGGTCTAGTATGGAAGATAAATACTTTTCTTTAATAAGTAAGTTTACTAACATTATTCAAAAACTGAAAGTTGTGAATTACAGTAATCCTGCGCAAAGCGTACATCAGTCAGCAGCAGTAAAGTTGCCAGATATTAAAATTCAACAATTTTCAGGAAATATTACTGAATTTGAATCTTTCATGCAACTGTTCGACGCCCTCATTATTCAAAATAAACAATTATCCGATATTCAAAGATTCGTGTACTTAAAAAGTTATTTAAAGGGTGAACCGTTGCAAATTATTGATTCGCTTCCTATAACTAACAATAATTTTCAGATTGCAATAAATACATTGAAATCTCGTTTTGAAAATAAATTTGCCATAATAAACTCTTACTTGTCAGCAATGATAGATGCGCCTAGCATAAATAAATGTAAGCCTAACTCATTGCGGGAATTTATCACAACGATTCAAAAAAATTTCCAATCATTGAAAAATCTGAATCTTTCTTTTGAAGAACTCTTTAACTTAATTCTTATTTTTCAATTTCAGAAAAAATTGGATTATGGAACCAAAAGAGCGTTTGAGACTGAACGCGATCACTCTCAGATACCGAGTCTAGATAACTTTATAAGCTTTCTTGAGAAAAGGTGTCTCATATTAGAAAATGTTGAGATGTCGAGCCCCAAATCTCAAAGAAAAGTAATACATTCTCATCCTGCTACTTCGACGAACAATTCTTCGGGTAGCTCGTCTAATAATAATTCAAATGCATTTTTGAATTGTATATTTTGTGGAAAATCGGGACACAAAATATATACTTGTCATAATTTTAAAACCTTGCAACATCCCGAAAAATACAATTTTGTCAAAACAAAGAATTTGTGTGAAAACTGTCTCGGTAGGCATACCATTAATAAATGCACCTCTACTCAGAAATGTCATGTGTGTGCAAAGCGTCATAATTCATTATTACACATACAAAATAATACAGAAAATCAGCATTCTCCCTCCACTTCCTCTAATAGTGATTCTCTCACACGATCTAGCTTTCGTGATCCTAAGTCTCAATTAAACTCAGGGCGAAGTGGAAATTCCTCGGGAAATTCTCAAATAAATTCTCCAAGAAACTTTTATTCTCTAATTTCAGGTCCTTCGGAGCAGCAAGAAAACAATAGGCCAAGTTCCGACATTAGTTCAATTTCTCACTCAGCTTTATCGCTAAAAAGCTCTCATGTACTTCTAGCTACGGCTAAG